ACATGGCCACACCTCCTCCAACATGGCCACACCTCCTCCAACATGGCCACACCTCCTCCAACATGGCCACACCTCCTAATCCTTCCCAAACAGTTCCACCACTTAGGGAACTGAGCATTCAGACACATGAGCCTTTGGAGGCCAATGGCTAGTCCTCTGTGGTCAAGGCTAGAAGGCAGGAAAAACTAGAATAGTAGAGAAGCAGGCTGTGGGGGACAGTATCCCTGATAAGGACTGGGGATCAGCAGCTGGACTTCTGGCCTGAGGAGGGGACACCACATATGCTGACAGATCGTTCCCAAGGTGACTCTAGATCTTGTCAAGTTGGTGGTATTAATCATCACACTCTACCCAGCATCCACTCATGAGGTCCCTGTGCTTGGGCAGGGTGAAATGTTGGGTCTGGCATGCCAAGCAGCAAGGAGGGCCATCAGTTCCACACTGTGTGGAGCAGCTGCTTGGAAGGGCTGCAGGGCAGCAGGGCTGAAGGAAATGTGTTAGAATCCAGGAGGGCTGGGTTGATTGGCAGGGGGCACCCAGAAGACTGCAGGAGGCTGGCATTCTTGGGGCTTCAGAATCCTGGCTGGAGCTGGAGCCCTGGTTGAGATGTGGATCCTGGGGAGGGTAGAGTTACAGGGAAAGCTAGAGGCAGAATGAGCAACTGCCATAAAGGGCTGGTCTCCCCAGAGGAGGCTGGGGATGTGGCTTCCGATAGGAGGGTCATACTCAAGAGCAGCTGTGGGGCTGGGAAGAACAGGTATGGCTCAGGGGTCCATGGCTACCAGGTAGTCTTTTTCCCCCACATTCCTAACCTCAGATACCATGGAGCTACTCTGAGAGTCATCGTGTACCCTTGAGGTAGGTCCCACTTGCTGCATGAAGCCTGGTCCTTCATGCCCATCCACCCCACACCACACACAAGACACAGGTCGGTAGGAGACAGCGGCAAGTTGAAAGATTTATTTTTTTAAGTGTGTGTGTGTGTGTGTGTGTGTGTGTGTGTGTGTGTACAGATGAGTGCAGGTTTCCAGAGAGGCCAGAGGAGGGCAGCAAATGCCCTGGAAAAGGAATGACAACCTACAGGCAGTTGTCAGTCACCTGCTGTGCACTGGGAACAGGACTCGGGTCCTTTGCAAGAGCGTAAGTGCTCTTAACCACTGAACTATCTTCGAAGGCCCCAAAGTCAGGCTTATCAGGATATATGCAGTGAGAGCCCAGGTAAGGCTAAGACTGCTGGAGTTGGGACTAATCTCATGACTTAGGGCCTAAGGAGGCAGTGGGGCTCCATTCAGGCAGCCTCAGGGAAGGACTCAGGAGCCAACCACCTTCTGGATGGCCATGGCTAATCTTCTGGGGTCAAGGCTGGGAATGGTTAGAGTAGTGCAGAGCAGCCTGTGCTGGACAGTACCCCAGAGGAGCATTTGGGGTCAGCAGCTAGACTTCTGGCCAGAAGAGAGGCTACAGCTGACTTGTCTGGAGCAGGCTGGGTGGCAGAGCATGGACACGCTGGAGCAAGACTTGCAGCAGCTGGGCTGGCAGGAGGAGGCACAGCAAGAGGAGGTGGGCACACAGCAGGCAGGTCTGCACACAGGGCGGCAGAGCAGGGAAATGCTGGAGCAGGGCTTGCAGCAGCTGGGCTGGCAGGAGGAGGCACAGCAGGAGGAGGTGGGCACACAGCAGGCAGGTCTGCACACAGGGCGGCAGAGCAGGGACACGCTGGAGCAGGGCTTGCAGCAGACAGGCTTGCAGCAGACAGGCACGCAGCAGAAAGATTGACAGCATGAGGGCTGGCAGCTAGACTGCTGGCAGCATGAGGAGGATCCAGAGCAGACGGGTGTGCAGCAGACAGGCACACAGCAGGAAGATTGACAGCATGAGGGCTGGCAGCTAGACTGCTGGCAGCATGAGGAGGATCCAGAGCAGATGGGTGTGCAGCAGACAGGCTTGCAGCAGACAGGCACACAGCAGGATGGCTGGCAGCATGATGATCCAGAGCAGACAGGTGTGCAGCAGACAGGTTCACAACACAAAGGCTCACAGCATGTGGGTTCACAGCAGGGCGGCTGGCAGGGAGAGCAGGTGCAGCAAGAGGGCTCACAGCTAGACTGCTGGCAGCATGAGGGGGATCCACAGCAGACTGGCACACAGCAGACAGGCTTGCAGCAAACTGGCACACAGCAAGACGCCTGGCAGGGGGAGCAGGTACAGCAAGCTTGCTGGCAGCTAGACTGTTGGCAGCATGAGGGTGAGCAGCAGCTGGTACAGGGAGATTGGCAGCAGGGGCTGGACACACAGCTCACTGGGGTACAGATGAGGGTCAGGCAGGGGGCTGGGGCACAACAGCTGGACAGGCAGCAGCTGGGCTGGCAACAGCTGGGCTGGCAGCAGCTGGACTGGCAGCAGCTGGGGGCACAACAGGTAGGCTCACAGCAGCTCTCTGGGCAGTCGTCCACCTGCCAGGAGGAGTTGGTACAAGCATCGGAGCAGACAGACATGGTGGAGGCGGCCATGGCAGGGTTGGCTGGGAGCTGGGAGCTGGGAGCTGGGAGTGTGTTGAGTGACTGTGTGAGTGTTGAGTGTGTGTGTGTGTGAGGTGCTCTGGGCTCTGGGCTTTTATCCCCCAGGCGTGTTTTGCTGCAGGAGGCTCTGGGCCCTTCCTCTTCCTTGTTGTTCAGTCTGGAGGGTGCTCCGTGGAGTCATAAACTCCTGTTGGGCTGATTGCCCTAAGAATAGGCATATTTAGAGGGAAGTATGGCCTTCCTGGGCTGACCCTCTGCCCTCTCCCTGGTGGCCACCTGCCAGGCTACCTGGTGATGGTGTTGAGCACCAAGACTATTGTATCCTCCAGCCTTGTCCTCAGAGGGCGGTCCAGCCTGCCTGTGGCTGGGAGCAAGAGGTGATGAGCCCATCAGAGTTGTCTCTCCTGCGTCTGAGACCAGCACTGTGGCCAGAGCATCCCACCCATAGCCTCTGCTCCCCAGTGTCCTCCATATTGTCAGATGCCTGGGCACAGTGGGCACTCGCTAGGTGTCCCGGGTTCTTGGGCCCCAGAAAGCATTGGATGGAGGCGCATGCACAGTAACATGGGAGCAGAATTCAGCAATTCAAAGGCCTGGCTGTGCAGAGAGGAGCGTGTATGCCACACAGTGTGGACTTCCTTACTCAGATGCATGGTGCGGCTTCTCGCACAAGCTCTGTCCCATGGACTTCTACACACACCTGCACGTGTGCCGGGTCTCAGCGTCAGAGCCCAGAGATGTGTTATAGTATTGTGATAGCCACGGCTCACTGAGACCCCTGGGCCTCTGCCAGTGACCGGAAGTTTCACCTGGTCTCAGCTGAGGACTCCCAGCCTCTCCTTGGACCTAGTTTGGAAAGGCTTTGCATGGAGCCTTTCGGACCTCACTCTCCTCCATTCCCCAGCCTCACCCTCAGCCTCTCTCTGGAGGTCCAGAGGCCAGATACTGTCCCTTAGACAGGCAGCTGAAGAGGACCAGATCAGAAGATAGAGCTAGATACACGTTTTTGAAAATCCGAGTCATCAGGCTTCAAAACCTTCAAAGCCTCGGGGAGCCATGGCGGTATCCTGGCTGGTGTCTTGTCTGAGCCATTGAACATCCCACTTCCATATTTATCCAGTCACAGCTGAGTCAGGAATCCACTCTTTCTTCATGGCTGAAGAACATTCTTTTATGTGGCTACACCACACTTCACTTCTCTCTTGTCAATGGATGATGGGCTCTCGGTCTGTCTTTACCTTTGTGCTACTGTGAGCCGATTGGCTATGAATATTCTTGCACTCATGATGTTTGAACATTTCACCAACTCCTTGGCAGAGACCTCTGGGCAGAACAGCTCAGTCATGTGATTCTGTGTTTAGCCTTGGCGAGACCGCTGGGCTGTTTCCAGTCTGTATCCCCCAACAGCGCACAGCGCTGCCTTTCTCCTCAGCCTTCTCAGACCCTGTTATGTGTGTGTTTAGTCACAGTTGACCAGGGTGTGCACTGGCTCCCTGCTTGCCAGACTTTCTAGTTCATGTCTAATGACCTGGCACTGGGCTCCAAGTACCCACCACTGTGTGTGTGTGTGTGTGTGTGTGTGTGTGTGTGTGTGTGTGTGT